TTACCTGAATGCCGTTTCTCAGTACGGAGATGGAGAATCCACCAATGGGTTTTCTCTGTCTGCCTGCTCTTGAGACCAAATAGCCATACTTGACACACCCCCTCTTGCTAGGAGATCCAGTCTTGACGAGGGCGAAAGTGGCTGATACTAGTCGAGGTGTTGGCTCTCAACCCCTAATGCCAGCCTAACTGACCTTAAGGGCGGGTGTGGATTCTCCATCTCCGTACTGAGAAACGGCATTCAGGTAAGACAACGCCCCTTCTCCAGTACAGGAGATGGAGAATCCACCAATGGGACATACCAAAGCCTCACTGTCCCGATGGGTGGGAAACAAGGCCGGATCCACGTCCCCAGAGACCACCTGCTAGAGGACCCTCCGACCAAAGGAGGTGTCCGCTGAAGCGAAGCAGTCAATCCTATAGTGACGTATAAAAGGTGAGGGCGAAAACCATGTCACAGCCCTGCAAATCTCCTTGATGGAAGCCTGAGTGGCCCATGCCGCAGATGTCGCAGCGCTGCGAGTGGAATGGGCTGTGATATGACTTGGAGTCAGCAGGGAGGCAGAACGGTATGCCTCTGCTATACAGGCCCTGAACCACCTGCCTATAGTGCCAGTGGACACCTTCTGTCCCAGGGACCATCTTTCCCAGAAGCTGGGAGACTAAGACCAGTGGAACGGTGCGGTCCTTGTACACCCGGCAAGCCAGGTCCCTGATGCTGATCAACCACTCCTGGGAGAGATAGACTATGCAGTTTGTGGTGTCTATGATGGCTCCCAGGTGCAGAAGCCTGGATGAGGGAACCGTCTGGCTTTTTTGGAAGTTCACCAAGAACCTGTGCTGTTGGAGGATCTGAATAGTTAGTTCCAGGTCTGACTGGGCTGCCCGGAAGGAGGACGCTTGGATCAAGATGTCATCCAGGTAACACTGGACGCATACCGGTACCTTCCGTAAGTGGGCAGCTAGCACAGCCAGGATCTTGGTGAATACCCTGGGTGCCGAGGAGAGGCCAAACGGAAGGGCCTTGTACTGGAAGTGACGGCCCCTGTAACAGAACCTGAGGAACCGCCGGTGATCTGGATGGATAGGGATGTGGAGATACGCTTCTGTGACGTCTACTGACGCCAGGAAGTCTCCTTGTCTGATGCCTCCTAGGATGGAATGGAATGATTGCATTTTGAAATTTTGTATGTGATGTAATAGTTCAGACTCTTGAGGTCTAGGATTGCCCTCCCTCCCCCCCCCCCGAGGTCTTGGGGACCACGAAGAGGATGGAGTAGAATCCCCTTCCCCTGTGGTCCTGCGGTACCGGTTCTATGGCCTGAATCTCCAGAAGATGTTGAATGGCCTCCTGCATAAGTCCCTGTTTGGTTGGATCCCGAGAAGTGGGACAGGTGATGAAGCAACCCGGGGGGTTGGTCAGAAACTCCAGAGACAGGCCAAACTGGATTGTTTGTAAGACCCAAGCGTCCGTGGATGTGAGTTCCCACTGATGGAAGAAGTGGGCAAGTCTTCCCCCTATGGGAAGTGCGGTGTAAGAGTCACTTGGACCTCCTGTAGGGGCGTCCTGCCCCTCGAAATGGCCTCTTGGATTGGTTCTGCTGCCTGGGCCGAAAGGCCGACTTGTCATACAGAGGTTCATATGGCCTGTGCTGCCTGGGTGTGTATGAACGGGAGGGCTGGGTGGCTGTCGAATCTGCTGCCGGCCTAAAGGACTACCTGCGGAAATAGGGAGTGGCATGTTTGTCGGACCGTTTATTAAGATGAGCCATGAACCTCCGCTTGTCCTTGTTTTCCACAAGGTAGGGAGTCAGGGCCTCCCCAAAGAGATTGTTGCCCAGATATGGGGCATTTGCGAGATGCCATTTGCCCTTGGCGTCGGCCTGTCAGTGTTTCAGCCATAACATCCTTCTAGCTGTACTGTTGGAGGCTAGAGACCTGGAAGCAAAGGTGGCCTACTGAAGCGTCGCGTCCGCAGCATACTCAGGTGCCACCACCATTTTGCTTAGGTCCTGGTGAGTCCGAATGTCCTCAGAAGGGACTCTGGCCTGAAGCTGACGAAGCCATAAAAGGGTGATTCGGACAAAGAAGGACGCACAAGTGGCCGTTTTACTTGATGGGCCTTTCGGAAAGTTTGGTCCCATTTCCTGTCGTCCGCTTTAAGCGCCTCAGACACGTCCCCAGCGACCACAGTCTGGGACACCAGCGGGGTCCAGGCCTCGTCCACCTTGGGGACCTCTAGGGCCTCACTTAGGTCTGTAGAGATACTAAAAATCTTTTTATCTGTCCCACTTACAGAAGGAAATGAGGAAGGGGAGACCCATTGCTTTTTGATCCCTTTGAGAAATATAGAAGGGCAGGGAATGTGGTGCTGGGCTGCCACCGTTTCAAAGAATATCGGATTTGGACTGGAATCTGATGTGGCTTGCATCTGAGGGAACTGATCTGACCCAATGTTTGTTGTTGAGGTGGCCTTGCGAAGCAAGGGGAGAAACAGGGCTGGATTGAATAGACCTCCAGATGGGGAGGGTTCAGGGGGGAGTTCCTCTGATAGATTGAAATCTGGCTGATCCTCACCCTGCGGAGATGAGTATCCGCTTACTGAGGAGTGTGCAAGAGATGTGGGCTCCTAAAATAAAGGGATCCCCATAGGAGGGACATAAGGTGGCATAGCTGATGTGGAAGCCCCCTGTCCAGGTGCATGGAAAGATCGTTCTGTTAGAGCACAGCCCACAACCTTGGATAACAGGGCCAAGTCGGCTGTCAGAGAAAATGTCTCCAAGGTCTGGACCCCTGAGCCCTGCTGCAGGTGGTGTGAAGGTGGCCTCAGGAGCTGAACCCGAGGGAAGGGGTGGTAGACTGGTTGCTGTGCGCTGAAGTAGTCATAAGGGGGACAATGTGTGGCGGGGGTTTCTGTCAGGGACCACACGCCCTGAGCTGAGGTTGAAGGACCTAAAGGAAGGTCAAACTCAGGGGCCACCATTTGATCCGTCTCTAATCCTGCCTGTCTCTGCGCTCTGGAGAACTCCTTCTCCAAAGCCTGGTGCCTACGGCTGGCTTGCTTTTCTGCCAACTTGGAAGGCTTCTTGAGAGTGGCCTTAGCCTTGGTTTGAGCTTGCCTGCTGCCTCCTGTTTGGAGGTTTTGTGCCGGCCATAACTGGAGGATGGGGAGGCAGTGCTCACGGGTTGAGGCACCGTGGAGTCCTCCATTCTGGGTTGAGCTGTCTCAGGGAAACTGAGGTGGAGCTCTGGCAGGCAAGCGGTTGGCGGAAGCGAAATTGGAGCAAGTAACAAGGACTGCTTCCCTGACCACCTGACCGGAAAATCAAATCTATCTGGGCTTGGTCACGGCAATTGAGGCTGATGCCAAAGGCATGGTTGGGGACCCACTATGGGCTCCGCCCGGAGGCCTTAGGTGGCCAGTCAAGTTGCACCAGATAGCCCAATGAAGGGTGCAGAGGGCCTGAGGCAAGGCCTGGCAAGGAAAGGATGAGGACAAAGGTGGTCGAGCAATTTGGCGCAGTCTGTATCAAATAATATAGAACAAACGCTCCTCCAATGCAGCCTAGGCCTGTATGACTATAAGGCCCTGGCTTGATGAGGCCTAAAGAAGTGACCACGTGGCAATCAAAATGGTGGCCATCAGAGTTGGAAGAAATAATTAGAGTCCCTAGGGCTGTGTGCCCTAAGCAGGGACTTAAGTCCTGAAGGAATGGGGGTGATTGAGCCACAGGAGTAAGAATAAATGACTAGATCATACAAAGGAACCGTTTAACTCTTTGTTGCCTTAGGCGGCAACAAAATGGCGGCCGCAACTCGTTCTGCCGTCAAAAAATGGCCGCACCCACACAAGGGAAGTTTTGGCAACACTGAGGTAGCCGTGGCCGCAGCGCTAAGCGCTAAGCCGGGGGATAGTCCCCAAAATTGGCCTCCAATCGAAGAATGAAAACAGAGCCCTGGAATCAGTCTTTTAAACTTTGTTGCCTTAAACGGCAACCAAAATGGCGCCCGTGGCTCGCAAACGGCTCCGGAGGCCTGGGAATTGAAATTGTGCAGACCAAGGTGGAAGCACTGAATGCAGCTCCTCAGGTCCTAAGAGGGGAGGTGAAGACTGTTTTTAAGGTAGCTCTGTGAGCTACCCAAGAAATATTTTCCCCCAGAGCCCTGGGGAAAACAAAACGAATAAGAAGCAGTTGCCTCCCCCCCCCCCACCTCCCACAGTTCAAATCCTCCGATTTGAGGCAGTGCTGAACCCAGCACTGCAGGGGAACAGTAGGGAAGGATTCCTAGGCTGTGGTAAATTATCAAAATTATTGAGGGATATTGTTAAATAAGGGAGAATTCACCAATGGGTCTCTACCTGCTAATCTGCTGACACATCTTCAAGAGCTTAAGACCAAGTCAAGACTGGGTCTCTAGGAAGAGGGGGCGTGTCAAGTTTGGCTACTTGGTCTCAAGAGCAGGCAGACAGAGAAAACCCATTGGTGGATTCTTCATCTCCTGTACTGGAGAAGAGATAAGGATTCTTTATACACAGCTTTCAAGAAATGTCTAAACTTGCAGTCCTCATCTAGTGGACTACAAACTCTTAATCCTAAGAACGTAAGTTTCTTGCCAAACTTTCATAATTCAAAAAACTAATTCCACAATTTGGCAGAATATGAACTACAATACTACATCCATAGAAATTCAGAAGAAAGGGCACGTCAGCTCTTGTGTAAAGCAGCGGTCCCCAACCTTTCTGGCTTGGCAGAACGGCGGAGGCAGCAGGGCGGAACGGATGGTTTAGCACACGCATGTGCCACTTTCACAAATGCAGTTTCCCATGTGTTTGCCCACCACTTCTGCAACCCAGTTCCAAACAGGCTACGGCCCAGAATTGGGCCATGGCACAGGGGTTGGAGACCCCTGGCGTAAAGTACATACCAAAACCAAGCTTGGTACCATGATACATCTACAGCACATCATAAAAAGCTGGCTCAAACTAGAAGCTGAGCTCACCTGAATTTCCTCCCAAATGTCTTCATCTAGAAGTGTGGCAGCAGTGTAATGCTGCATAGGAATGATCAGGCAATGACCTTCGGTAAGAGACTGGTACCTTGGCACAGATAAGTACACCTAGAAAAGAAAATGCAACATTTTATCATTATTGCATATTGACCTTATGATTTCCATGAATCATTCTTGCCGAACTAGACATGATATAAAACTTGCTTAGAGGGACTCTCGTTTTAAAGGAACTAAAAGTTCCAACAGTGGGGAATCTGCTAAACAGTTTCCATATTCCACGGTTTTATATATCCATATAGGATAAGATCCATCTGGGTCAGGTTCCTGATGAGAAAAAGTGGCAAAACAGGAAACATTATTATTTCTCAGCTATAAGATTGTTCTGTTTGTATATAGAATCTGAAAAGATACGAAAGATTGCCATATCATCTAATTTGGACTGGAATCCCTTCATTGAATATATTCAAGCACAAGCTGAACGTCATTTGTCAAGGATGCTGGATTTGTCCAAGGACCAGAAGATTGAATGTGATGGCTTAAAATGGTTTCTTTCAACTCTTTGAAATTAATTCCAAATACATTTTATAAGGAGGATAGACTATAACCATTTTTTTAACATCCAAATGACTTTGTTTGTCTTTGTGCTTTTGTTTTTTCTACCAATTATAATTTCACCTTTCCTCTATAACTCTTCTCTTGCAACTCAACTCTGCTGTGGCCTCCTAATTATTTACTCTCCTTGTGCCACCTAAATATTCAGAACTTGTGTATCATTGCAAGAAGGTCATCAACAAATCTGAAGTACTGAAAATTAACTATTATCATTCAAGACATATTCGTATTTGCTGCATCCTTGAAGAGGTTTTTTCCTCTTAATGGAAGAGCCAGGGTTATTCAAAAGCAATCAGTCATGTCATAAGAAGCAATCTTAATTTTAATTTCATAATATCATGCACAAAAAGCAGCCCCCTTTTGGTTCGTCCATTTATATGTCAAAATAACTGATGCTGCTCCCTTACCTTGTTACCAATTGCAATGATTAGGTGTTTAGGAAGTTCAGAGCTACCAAAACAATGAGGGCATTTTTCCATGCATGCAGCAAGCCGTTGATGCTCACGGATCGCTTGGTTTCTCTCCCTTTCGTCCGCTTTTCCACTTTCCTCTCTCTTCGCTGCTTTGGAAACAAACATGTCATCCAGAGTGTAATAATCTCTATCAGTTTTGTCTGAAAACTAAGCAAAAGATAGTTCAAGTGAGCTGGAAAACTAAACTTGGATTATAAAATTTATTTGATGACTTCTAGACACTCACTACCTCTAAACATAACAACTAGCACTGTGGTGTTTTGCCAAGGGCAAAGGCACAAAGTGGAGTGGTGCTATGTGCACAACCTCCAAGTACTCAGACGATGCTGGGATTGCCATGAGGTGGCTGTATGTGCACTCACATACAAAGACAACATATGAAAACTCCAAAAGCAGTCATACTGAATGTTCAGGAAGATGCAATTGCTTCCAAGCTCAAAGGAATGTTTTTCAACCAGTAAACTCTATGAAGCTCCATTGGAGATATTTGCACAACCCCAATAAAAACAAAATCTCATTTCATTTTTATTAAGGCACTCTTCTTTTCATCAGTGGGAGTTGCTGCCTTAGATAAAGCCCATAGCTTGTCTTTATTCTTGTAATCTTCATTAGATGAAGGATCGGGGATAATGCAAATTTCAAGTAATGACAACAGCAGCAACTGGTTAAGCAACAGACACGATAGCTGCTCCAGTAATGGGAAAAATGAGTTCTTAGATGAGTGGAATCTATTAAATCAAATTTATATAGGGATATACAAGGCCAAACTCTGTTATGTTATTAGAACCATCCTATAGATTTGATAAGAAAGGCTGAGCATCAAAGAATTGAAGCCTTTGAACTATGGTGCTGGAGAAGACTCCTGCGAGTCCCTTGGACTGCAAGGCGATCAAACCAGTCAGTCCTAGAAGAGATCAACCCCGACTGCTCTTTAGAAAGCCAGATCCTGAAGTTGAAACTCAAATACTTTGGCCACCTAATGAGAAGGAAGGACTCACTGGAGAAGGACCTAATGCTGGGAAAGATTGAGGGCAATAGAAGAAAGGGAAGACAGAGAATGAGGTGACTGGATGGAGTCACTGAAGCAGCAGGTGTAAACTTAAATGGACTCCAGAAGATGGTAGAGGACAGGAAGACCTGGAGGAACGTTGTCCATGGGGTCGCGATGGGTCGGACACGACTTCGCAATTAACAACAACAACAACATAGATTTGAAATAGGAAATCTTTTTCTTTTCGTGTTTGGCATTCACAGCCCCCTCTCCTCTTGAGGAGGCCACCCAGCTGGCTTCATGCCCAAAATTGGACAAGAACTCACAATCTTCCAGTTTCTATCTTGATGCCTTAATCACTATAGTAAACTGGTCCTTTTATAAAACAAAAAAATATTTTTGTTATTGTGTGGTAATCTGAAGTATTTATGAAGCTAAGCTTGTAATTTCATGAACTGATTTTTTAAGTAGCGTTTTTGTAAAAGTTTAATTCTGGCATCATTTAGAATTCTACAAGTCACTGTCTTTTAATATATACTGACAGCATAACACTCGGTGACACTGAAAGTTAATATAAAACAATTGACAAAAGTCTTTGACAATATATCATACACAGAATGCTTTCTGTATTTTTTTCCTTGTACTAATTAATCTGAATAACACTGAATTTTAAATTAACTCACCTTATAAATTATTTTAAAAGAACATACAAAGGAAGAGAGCAGGTTTTAAACCTGGGTTTTCTTGTATATGCATTATGTTTTCATTCTGTTTATTTTACTTTTTTGTGCCTTTCAGGTTTCAGAAGTGGGTTTTTTGTTGTTGTTTTTGTTTGCCTCTTCGTTTTGTGTCTTTGAATCAGTACTGACTCCTAGCAACAGCATAGACAATTCTTTGCAGTATTCTTGGCAAGATTCTGGAAATGGTTTGCCATTACCTCCTTCCTCCTAGTGCTGAGACAGTGATTGGCCCAAAGTCACCCAATTGCCTTTGTGTCTAATGGGGGACTAGAATTCATGGTCTCCTGGTTTTGAATCCAGGGCCTTAACTGCTGCACTAAAGTAGCTCTCTTTTGTACACTAAAGCAACTTAAGAAACAGCAGTATTACTATTCCAACAATGAAATACTAGAAATCAAATATTCCTTGCACCCATCTGGTGAAAAAGCAATCACATGAAAAGTACTTTGCTTATTAATATACAAGACCCCTGCTGGATTAAAATATAGGCCTAGAGTAGCACCTTGTTTTTATGGTGACTAAACAGATACTTCTGGAAGTCCTATGAGGATATGGAATAAATCAGTAATATCACCGTAATAGATATGAAGAGGCATATAGCCATAACAGTTAATAGCCTCCAACTATTTTATCCTTCGTGAATTTCTTTAATCCCCTTTAAAGACTATCCAAATTACTATCATCATTTTAACACCATTCTGTTATGGAAGAAGAAAATCTCTCTCTTTTTTAATACTATGTATTATGCCCTCTCTCCATCCTATATTCTTTTCACCTTTCTCTTTTTTTAATGTGAACTATCTTTATTGAAAGTTACTGTTCTATCTACCTGTATTTCTATAGAAACCACACTCAATATTCCCAAGTTACAGTTCTGCAGTCTGGACAAGAACAGGACAAAGCTTCCACATTAATGGAGCCCAATTATAGGAAAAGTGCTGAATTCAAAGGCTCAGATCCAATTCTCAGAGGCTCATTATCCACTAGGAGAATGTATCTTACATGTCTTGAGGAATATATGCTGTGGAAAATTCCTAATGAACACTCACTGAACAATGTATACAGACTGCAAATGCTCCCTTTTTTCACAAGATCACTTGATGTTTGCCATCAAATCAGTGTCAACTCTTAGCAACATACAGATCCTTTCTAGGGTGAAATGTTGTACATAAATCCAACATTATTTTATAGGTGATGTCTTGCTGCCCAAATATGCTAATTATGACTATATCATATAGTGTGCTTGGCTTCTTCTGCCTCATTGATCCAGACTCAGGGCAGTGTTTCTCTCCATGTTCAATACAACCAGAATAAATCATGCAAACTAAGCAAAATATATACTATCTATTGGCTTGTAAGGCAATTTGAATATGAGTTACAGAATTCAAACTTTCTTAACATAGAATATTAAGTCTTATATTTAAAGCACAAATTATGACGAAACCATATTGCAGGATAGGTCAATTAGACTCAACATCTATCACTAACATCAGTTTTTTTCCTTACCAATACCATCTGTAACTGGAAAAAGAACCCCAAAACATACTTTAATAGGTCTGTAATGATGTGTGGGTTTAAAGAATTATAATTTTTGAGACAAAATATATTATCAATTTATTGTTTATTTCCCACTAGTGCTTGCTTTTGATACGGCAGTATAGTTTGACAGTATTTTTATACTATACTATTACTATAATTCGAATAGCATTATTTTTCAGGTCTTTAAGGTGATGCCGCCCCTTTTCATTTTCCTTAAAGTATCCAATATTCACTTTTCTTTAAAAAAAGTGTATGTTTTCAAACATTCATTCAGTCATTCATTTACAGGAAATATGAAAAGGTGGCTAACATAAAGAATTGTGTGTTTCCTAGAAATTCACCAGCCCATTAACATTGCTGCGGTTCATCTCTCAGAGGAAGATTTCTGCAATTCAATGCTATGTTTATGTTTGAAAGAAGAAAAATCTCAACTAAGTCACCCATAAAATTATTTCCACCAATATTGATAAGAAGCAGTCCTGAAGAAAGCTCATTAGAAGGTTCCCAAAATACATCGTCTTTTCACCAGGTTTTAATTTTATGTGAGAGGGTGTTGTTTATCTTCCTTTATTCCATTTGTTTCCAGCATTTTACAGATTGCAGGATGGCTTGGAAACACTATATTAGAGAATGACATGAGTGTGGTCAGTGTCTACAAAATGAACGTAAACCAGCACTAGTGAGATAGCTGCCAGAAGGACTAACGTGTTCTGGGATGCATTAGAAGAAGTATGGTAACAGGCATGTGAAGTCTGCACTGCACTGATATGATCACACCTGGACTTTAAACAATTCTATGTACTTCATTTCCAGAATATTGACAAGCTACAATGGTTTCAGAAGAGGATGATTAAGATGAAATAGACACTTTTAAAAATGCTCTGTGAAAGCAGGGTTGAGGAGGTCAGGGTGGAAGTACTTGAGATATTCAGCTTGGAGAAAATACACACACATACAAACACAAAGAGTAAAAAACAGAATCAATAATACCATTTAGATTTCCCTTCAGTTGCAAATTTTGTTTCTCCTCTCTGTGCAAAAATAAGATTCTAATTATGTCATGCTGACATATTTTATTCTACATTTATTGAGTTTTGAAAATAATTATGTAGGAAGAAGAGTTTTGAATTCCAGTGAGGAAATAGTTCAAAGTGGCGAGAATTGAAAGTACATTTCATTTTCTTGATTTTTCAGTCATCTATTACAGTTTATTATTTTGAAGCATCAGATAACACCTTAAAGCAAATTCTAGACTTGTTGAGACCGATCTATAAACAATGTCTGCTTTCAGAACAGACATAAGCAACTCAAAAACCAAACGTAAGGAGTCTCCATCAATCATAAACTATATGTGAATTTCCAAATGACACATGTGCACACCAAAAAACACACAGTGTCAGAATATGACTGATTTTCTACTGCAGCAATTGCATCTGTCAGAGACAAAGCTTTGAAAATTCTGGATTATCTTTATGCAGTCAATAATGCAATTATATGCGGTATTCTTTAAATACATCACAGTACACAGTGCTGAAAAATGTCTTCAGAGATCCCCAAAACAAAATAAAAGAGATCACCCTAAAACTGAGATAAATCTAATAGGAATGAGGAAGAACATTGTTATTTCAAGGAGTTTAGTGATGTATTTTGATTTCTCCTTTATATAAAGAAAAGTCTAAAAGTTTAGAGCTCATTGTGAGGTAATCTGCTTGTTTTTCAAAATGACAATCGTATTAGTTTATTGCAATGAGAAGGATAAACAGTTCTATAGCATTTTAAGGAAATCCAAAAAAATATATTATGGAATAGGCCTAGGATGACAATGTGCTTGCCAAAAAAGTACGTAAGTGTCTGCCCAACTCCCTACTCTATTTAAT